TTTTTTTTTTTTTTTTTTAAGAAGAACTTAACTTACTTCCTATTTGTCAGCAGGAATAACACCTTCTGAGACTTGAATTATGAGCACCTATTATTTTAATTTGCATCCAATTAATTCTGTTTGTATTCCAATTTCAACTAAAAACTTTAATTCATCAATGTTCTGACGCTCATATCTTTAATAAATTAAATGTATCTATTGCCATGAAAGGGGTATTCAAGCAGCATAAAACAAGCACCATGTTACAAAAATTAATTGGCTTTCCCATTTTGATAACTAAATCTTCTTTTAATTGCCTATCAAGTTTTTTCCCCCTCTTTACTGTGGAAACCAGTCTTTTGGCAATTTTTAAAGTTAATGATTTTGAAACACAATGGGTGACTTATAGGGGTAAAAAATATGAACCGGTACTAAAAGTCCCATGATATAGAAGATGTGGGATAATTAAGGGAAAAAAAAAAAAAAAAGATTGAAGCCCAAATTGAAAAGCAGAAAAGTAAAACATAAGATATATTGTAAAAAGAGTATTTGGGCAAAGGAATTGAGCCAGAATATAACAATTGTTTTTGTATCCTTTTTTAAGAATGTGAAATGAATGTAGTCTTCATGCCAGAAAGAAATACCAACTAACAACAAAGGCTCATTAGCCACATGCTGATGGTGAGTGGTTTCACTGCTGTTAATTTAGAATGCTCACGTTTCTTTTTGCATATAACTCAAGGGCTTATCATTGGTAAAGCAAAGGCTAATCAATTTACATGAAAGGAAAAGTAACCTGTTGCTGGATAACTTGGCAAAAACCAAAGTTTGTTGGTGTTATTGTTTTTTAAATCTGGCTTATTCAGTGTGTTCTTTCACTTTTACTATTTTTTTAATCCACCAAAGTTCCTCTGTAGTTGGGAACCAAAGTTTAAAAATAATGTGACAAAATTGTTCATCTAACATTTTTGGCTTGCAAGAAGAAAATAAGGACAATTTTAAGAGCAAAGCTTTATACACGAACTTAAAAAGTCATAAATCGTTTAGACACGATACACACACACACACACACACACACACACACACGCACACACACACACACATA